AGGCAGAAGAACCACTTAGACGCGGGAAGGCAGAGGTTGCAGTGAGCTAAGATAATGCCACTGCAGTCCAGCCTGGGTGGCAGAGGGAGGCTCTGCCTCAAAAAAAAAAGAAGAAGAAGAAGAAGAAAGAAGAAAGAGGAAGAAAGAAGAAGAGGAAGAAGAAGAGGAAGAAAGAAGAGGAGGAGGAGGAGGAGAGGAAGAAAGAAGAAGAGGAGGAGGAGGGAGGAAGAAGGAGGAGGAGGAGAGGAGGAGAAAGAGGAAGAGGAGGGGGAGGCAGGGAGGGAGGGAGGGAGAAAGAAAAAAGTCAAAATAAGGTTTTGATTGCATCTTTTGATTTCTTCCAGTACACAAAATATTTTCTTAGTTTTCTCAATTGCTTAAAAATAACTTGAAAATAATATTTGGTGGATATAGACAGACAGACAGATATTGCAGTATATATACTGTAGTCAGAAAGAGTAGTTTAGGAAATTACATACTGATTGAAATAGAATTCTATTTTATACATTCTTAAACATTCTTGCCAGCTTTTGTTGATCCTGGTGGGCTTGTCCTTTGGGCTCATTTGTTTGTTAAGATTTGAGGCTTGGGTTTATACTTTGAGGTGCAAATAGATGGAATGGGTTATGCTGGGGAAAATTCAAAATATATAAAAGGTTTGAAAAGACTATCTATGTAGCATCTGGACCAGTTATGTCTTAGGAGTGAATGCAAAGCTCTTGCAAATAATAAAGTGATTCTTTTGTTTAGTGTTTGCTTTGATCATCATTGTCTTACGTAAATAACTCCCAGTAACTGCAAACAAATAAAAAGTATTGCTAAATTCTCAGATGCTATCATAACAAAGTATATAAATACAGTTGCACTTCTAGTAACATCTAAATATATAGGCAAGATGTATTAGTTCGTTCTCAAACTACTACGAAGAAATACCTGAGACTGAGTAATGTATAAAGAAAGGAGGTTTAATTGATGCACAGTTCCAATTAAGGCTGAGGAAGCCTCAGGAAACTTACAATTATGGTGAAAGGCACCTCTTCACAAGGTGTCAGGAAAGAGAATGAATGCCAAGCAAAGGGGGAAGCCCCTTATAAAACTATCAGATCTCATGAGAACTCACTCACCATCATGAGAACAGCATGGGGGAAACTCCCCCATGATTCAATTATCTCTACCTGGTGTCACCTTCACATGTGAAGATTATCACAATTCAAGGTGATATTTGAGTTGGGACACAGAGCCAAACCATATCACAAGATGATCAAATAATGGCTTTCAATAGTCTTGAAACTGAATAGGAAATAAAACATGTAATATTGGCCTTTTGAACTCATTAATTTTTCAAATGGGATCTCTGATGCAAAAATGGTTATTAATTACTGTCTTGGAGCCAACATTTGGTGACACAAATAATTGTGTTTTGTAAATGAGCATCTGGACCCCATAATCTTGGATGAAATGGTTGCCAGACCTCAAGGAATATATCTGTTCCCCTGGTATGCAAGCAATTGTGACCACAAGTGATGCTGGAAATACAGGCAGTCATCAGAGAAGCCTAAGACTCTGCAACTTGCACAGTTCAGAGGGCAGCATCTAAAGTTTCTAAGGTGTCCCCAAATCCTGACTCCTTCTGTTGTTGCTAGGAAAGTTGCCCAGCTTTATCTAAATACATCCAAGTAAAGAGGGTACCAGGCTAAGAAGAGATGAACTGAGAAATTCTATTTTTCTAGTACCACTTACCTCTTTTCCTGAATTGTAAATAGATAGGCAAAATGCCAATATACATCAGGAAAGGTAGACACTGAAACACAAGATGAACACACCTTATATTCTGTGCAACTGAAAAAGGATCAAGGAGAAGGAGAATTAGGAAGCTAGCTCTTTTGGAATACATTGGAACAGCAACAAACATGCTAGATTAAGGAAATTATTTTAAGGTCTCAATGTAATGTCTATTTAGGTCTATTCAACCTAAGTCACAGCTCAGGCATGAAAAGCAGGATTGTGAATGAGGTAGAGCCAGGAATCAGGAATGAGGGGAGGACTTGTTTGGGCTTAGGATAGATGAGGGTACTGAAGAACAGTATTTTCCTACTTTCCCACACTCTGTGCAGTATGTTTGTTGATCACAACATGAAAATAAGATGTAGAGAGAATGGGACCCTGGTCACTATAACATATATGAGTCTGATGTTTGTAGGACAAACAAAATGGTAGTTTGGGGAAACTCTGAGTTAGCTAAGAGGACAAAAGTGCTTTGGAACCCAACAATTTCACAGTTGTAATGCCCTGAAGGTATAACTGAAGGATCTTCTTTATAGCATTCCTGCTATTTAGCCACTCAAACTTTGCTTGAAAACTTACATTCTAGAGAGCTTACTATGGTGTGAGAAAGATTATTTCAAGTCTGGGCAATTCTCCTTATTAAACCATGCTTTCCCATATCAAACTAGATATTTATTTATTTATTTAGAGACGGAGTCTCACTCTGTCACCCAGGCTGGAGTAAAGTGGCATGAACTTGGCTCACTGCAACCTCCGCCTCCTCTGTTCAAGCCATTCTCGTGCCTCAGCCTCCCAACTAGCTAGGAACTACAGGCATGCATCACCACACCCAGATAACTTTTTGTATTTCTATTAGAGACGGGGTTTCATTATGTTGGCCAGGTTGATCTCGAGCTCCTGAACTCAAGCAATCTGCTCCTTTTAGACTACAAAAGTGCTAGGATTACAGGCATAAGCCTCAAACTAGATTTTTAAAAGATTCATTTGCTTATTTATAACATTTCTAGAAGAAAATGACAAGACTTGTGTAATTCTGAGACACATTATGCAAAGAACCAATAACTATAATTACTTGGCTTAGGGTGAAGAAGATCCAGAAAAGAACATGATGCTTTCTGTTTGAGTTTTTCTTTTGTTTTGGTTCTGTGTTTGTGTGTGTGTGAGTTTTTAAAATCACAAATACCAGAAACTATTAACAGGAAAGTCCTAAAAGGAAGAGTTTCCTTACATCACACTAGAAGTAACCTCTGCAAGGACAAAGACTTTAAGCTGTTTTTTCCTTTTGCTTTACTGTTAATATCTAGAACAGTACGTAATCCCTGAGATGCTCAGCATACATTTCTTGAGCAGATAAGTCAAATTGCCTAATGAGTGAGTTAGTGACCTCTCCATCACTGAAAGTACGCAAGGATGATGATACCTCACATCTTAGTGGAGAAGAGCATCACTACATTTGGAGCAAAGTGTTCGCATTTGAAACGTCTAAGTTTCAGCCCTGGCTCTACATGTTTGAGCTTGAACAATTTAACTGAAAACTCTGATGACTAATTTCTTCATCCAAAAAATGGTGATAATAAATGGAACCTACCTCATAGGGTATTTGGATGACATTAACTATAAATTGTTTATCACATTTCCTGGCACATGATAAATACTCATTCAAAGTTATACAGGTCTTTATGAATTATATAGGACTAGCCAAGATGAACTCTATTTTCATTTTTAGGCTTATGTTTTCTGAACTATAGAAGAGTTTCATTTTCATGATAACTCTCAAAAGGCACCTTGTCTTATCAATTATATTTATGTCACTATGGATGAAATTATTTCCCAAAGTCTCCTAGTCCATCTCCTTCTCTATACAAAGCAGCCTGGAATGTATCACAGTTTCTTTCTCTCAGGAAATCTAGAATACTTGATGGCATAACATGTCATTTCTGTTACTCATCTTGCATGGTCTGAAGTTCTAAGATCCAGTACTGTGAGGGGCCATTCTCAAATGTATCCAATGCCTTCTCTGCCTTCTGTTTTCAACTCCCTGAAATTAAGGCTGCATTTCCCACCCTTAGTGATGCAAGGGGTGTATGTTTAGGTTAATTTCATAGGAAGAACAAAGGGGAGTTGAGAGAAGATTCAGGAGAGCCAAGAATTGGATTATTGGTTCATGTGTTTTTCTTTTTCTTATAATCAAGGTAAAATATTCTGGAGAATTTGAGGAATAAGTCTGAAAATCCATAGATGCCTGTGGAAGAGAAAACTATTCCAGCCTGGGCTACAGAGCAAGATTCTGTCTCAAAAAAACAAAAACAAAAACAAATATATATATATATTCAAAACTATTATTATTTTTGTTGTTGTTGTTGTTGTTGAGACAGAGTCTCGCTCAGCTGCCCAGGCTGGAGTACAGTGGCATGATCTCGGCTCACTGCAACCGCCATCTCCCAGGTTCAAGTGATTCTCCCGTCTCATCCTCCTGAGTAGCTGGGATTACAGGCACCCACCATCATGCCTGGCTAATTTCTGTATTTTAGTAGAGACGGGGTTTCACCATGTTGTCCAGGCTGGTCTTGAACTCCTGATCTCAGGTGATCCACCTGCCTTAGCCTCCCAAAGTGCTAGTGATTACAGGCGTGAGTCACTGCGCCTAGCCTCAAAACTATTATTATTTAAATTCCAGAAAATGGCCCAAGTGAGAAGAAATAAGTAATGATGGCTCCGCAAGGATCAGGAGATTTTGGAGGTGACAGCTACTATGGCAGCAGCAGTACTTTCGCTCTGGAGAACCACATAAACATGGAGAACACTAGCTCATCCTGAGATATAACTCAAGATATTAAGACCTTCTTTGGCAAGTACAGCAGTGAGATGCTTTAAGGTTGACACTGTTTTGTGTGAACCTCCTCCAAACACTTGGTATCAAGTAAAGAAGGAATGGCTTCAGAACTCATTACCTTTCCTGAATTAAATACCTTTTATTCTGAGAAACAGAAGAGCAACCACAATGCTCAAATATATCCAAGGATATGAAATTTTATGTGACATCAATGACATATATTCTGATTTGAACAGGATATCTGAAAGAAAGAGTAGAAAGACTTGGTAAGTACAGCAACAGAATTATAAGATTACATTGTGCATGGAAGGTTATTGCTGAAGAAGTAGGAGCCACACTTAAAGTCCCCATTGCACTCCATGCTATAAACTCTGAGCTCAGATGAGGGTTGTCAGTCAGCGAAGATGAACTAGGGGAAAGAACAGAGTTTGGGAGTTATTGTGTCAAGAATAGAACAGTATTGGATGAAAGGATGAATTCCTACTTCTGTTCCTACATTCTAGTGGACAATCCACGAAAGGAGGGAAATTATAGAACAGAGCCTTGGATACCACAGTAAATGTTGAATTTGGAAAACTCCATAGTTGTGAGACTGGATCAGAAGTGCCACTGGTGAAATTTTAGAAAGTTTAAAGAAAAGGTAAGAGCTCTAAAGTCACAGAAATAAAACTAAGAAAGACATCTGACATTCAGTGTTTAAATTCCCTGTAGGGAGTTCCTGTGAGACCAATTTAACAGAAAAATTCTCCCAGAAGAGAATATCTAATATCCTGATCAAAATGTAGAAGGAAGGAAGGAAAGAAGGAAGGAAGGAAGGAAGGAAGGAAGGAAGGAAGGAAGGAAGGAAGGAAGGAAGGAAGGAAGGGATAGGGTCCACAGGAGGGATAGGGTCCAGCCCTACTGGGCCTGTGGGTTTTTCTCTTCATGTGCGAGATGAGAGAGCGTAGAAATAAAGACACAAGACAAAAGAGATAGAAAAAGACACGGGGCCCGGGGGGCCACTACCACCAAGACGCAGAACCGGTAGTGGCCCCAAATACCTGGCTGCCCTGTTATTTATTGTATACAAGGCAAGGGGCAGGGTAAGGAGTGTGAATCACCTCCAATGATAGGTAACGTCATGCGCAGTCACGTGTCCATCAGACAGGGGCCCTTCCCTATTTGGTAAGCCGAGGCAAAGAGACAAAGGGAACAGCTACATCATTATTTCTTCTATGCATTTTTCAGAAAAGCTCAAGGCTTTAATACTTTCACTAATTCTGCTATCTGCTATCTAGAAGGTGGAGCCAGGTGTACAGGGTGGAACATGAAAGTGCACCAGGAACGTGACTGCTGAAGCACAGCATCACAGGGAGAAAACTTTATAGGCCTGACTGACTACGACCAGCTATGATAGATATCAGGCCTTCCACAAAGATGGTAGAGCAGAGTCTTCCCTAAGTCCCCGGGGAAAGGGAGACCCCTTTCCCAGTCTGCTAAGTAGTGGGTGCCTTCCCAGGCACTGGCACTACTGCTAGACCAAAGTCTGCTATGTAACAGGTGCCTTACCAGGCACTGTGTTATCGCTAACCAAGGAGCCCTCTAGTGGCCCTGTCCGGTTAACAGAGGGCCTAACTCTTGTCTTCTGATCACTTCTCACCATGTCCCTTCAGCTCACTGCTCTCTGTATGGCTGGGTTTTTCCTAACGTTATAATCTGTAGAACAAAGATTATTTATATAATTGGGGAATAAAACGTAAATGCTATAAACTAATGATTATAATTTCAACATATAATCATATCTATAATCTATTTCTAATATAATATTCCTTAATTCTATATATTTTCTTTTATTATAATCGGAACAGCTTGTGCCCTCAGTCTAACCTTGGCACCTGGGTGCGCTTGCCCACCCCAGGAAGGAAGAAAGGAAGGAAGGAAGGAAGGAAGGAAGGAAGGAGGAAGGAGAAAGGAAGGGAGGGAGAGAGGGAAGGGAGATAGGGAGGGAACGAGGGAGGGAGGGAACAAGGGAGGGAGGGAAGAGGAAGGAAGGAAGGAAGGAAGGAAGGAAAGGAATTGCCTGAGTGTTGATAAAGCAGGTAATTCGCTCAATTTCTCAAGGTTTAAGAAAATCAGGAAAGTTGAAAGTCAACGTTTGCCCATCATTTTCTGCCAATTACTAGGGATTTGGAGGAGTGGAGTTTTAAGATCCTTGTATATATAGATATAAAAGAGACAAACATGGGTTGTTCCCCAAATAAAATGAAGGAGAGATTGGGAACAGAAAAGAACCACAGAATTATACAGGCAATAACCTCTCGTAGACCCTGGGATTTTTCAGATACAGAACCATAAAATAATATCCTTTGTGTTTCTCAATTTAAGATGATGTGAAGTATAGCAGGCTAACCTACTAAATTACACCCAGACCTATTAGAACCCTGAGGCACACATGGATTCTAGAAACACAACAACAAAAATAACATGTAAAAATGCACAAATCCATTGTCCAAGGCATCCCCCTACTTCGGCTATCACCATGACTCAATGTTGCTTTCTTCCATTTTTGAAAGGCTTCTATTTGAAAATTTAAAAAATAAAACAGGAAAGGAGCATTTAGATCTGAGGTTCTAGATTCCCACCTTACCTTCAACAATGGCTGATTACTGTTGGTCAGTCAGGAAACTGAAATGGGCTCAGAAGGGAAACCGTGGGATTTAAAAGAAACCCAGAAGTAATACACGGTCCATGCAAGTGGCGCAGAAAACTGAAATGGGATGAGTTGATTACACTAGGAGTCTATTTTGGGTCACCAAAGGGACCTAAGCACCTGAAATAGATGGGTTTCTGCTGAACAGCAAAAGAAA